TCCAAATTAAAAGGGATGTTACTCCCTAAAGGAAATGCAGGGAAGTACTTCTGCTTATTGGTGCAAAATCCAAAGCAATTCTCCCTTGACCAAGCTGTAACGTTATCAGTGTGAAGGAGTACGGCCTGAACACAGGAATGGAATTTACTGCTGTGATGCAGGGCTCTGAGCAAAGCACTCCCAGGTACCAATACACCTGAACACTGACATCACCTACTGTACGAAACAGGACTAACAAGGGCTCGAGTTAAAGCCAGCTAACCACACACAGCAGCAGCAGAGGCCAACTATGCTTCCAACGTGAACAGTCTGCTTCTCTTACCCTTAGAGAGGAAGCACATACCTAAATTAACTAAAAAAAGGCCTGTCAGCGGCTGATCATCCTCCATTTTCAAAGGGCGGATGATGCAGGACACCCATTCCTAAAACACCTACGAGCACATTTCTGCTGTTTCAAGAAAGCACATGCTAACACCTGTTAAAATACCCACCAGGAGATGACAAGTGGAGAAGTCTTACATGTATCAGAGGCTGGCAATTCCACTATTATCCACAACGTACATTTCCCTTTTAGAATCAAATTAACAAGTCACTTGCTCACATCACATAGAAAATGCCCAAGATGCTAAACATACTTTTTATCCAGAGTGACTTAAAAGTAAAAATTCGGTGTTTCAAAGCTGGCAGAAATTACACTAGGAAGTCACTTGGCCATTGTGTGCAAGCAGCTTTCCCACACTTTCTGAGAGCTCTACACAAATAGCATCCCTCCTGCAAATGGATCTTCAAAGCAACTTCAGGCAGCAGGATGAGGGGATGTCTTCTTCAAAAGGAAAGGGATCTCTCGAAATCCTGAGATTAAACAAGTTTAAGAACAAACCATTTTTGCTTTATGAAGGTTAGGTTCAGGAAAACAGTGGACTTTGAAAGTTGCATTCCATATGTTTCTATGGAAAGATCGGCAGGGGAGATGGGAGAGGTAATCAAGGCCTGAAAGACCTCCCTCTCTAATAGTCCTTGGAATACCTATTTTAGTGCAAGAGCCTAACAGTGCCGTGGGGGATTTTGACAGTTTTCCCTGACTGTAGCACCTTTGAGGGTGGCTGTGACTCTGCAGGTGAATCCTGTTGTTAAAACAGCAGCCTTTCTCTACATCTTTAAAGAGGTATTCAGATTTTCTTAGCCTTACTTAGTTGAATCACCCTGAATAAACAGTCTCCACCCATCAACTACTTATTTTGTGTAAAGCACCTATTCAAAGGCAACCACCTTTATTGATTGCCAAGCTGAAATGGCACCATTAAAAAGAAAAATAAAGGCAGGATACAGCAGAAGGCCTGTGTTGTTTCTGAAGGAAGCACAGGTCCAGGCGCTGCAACAGGGCAATTCCTTTCTCACTGCAGGAGGCTGCTCTAACAGGTTTAACACCAGCACAGCCACAAGCCAAATATCCCACTGACTCTTCTCCCTTTAGTCCAGGCTCTTTTCCTTGTTCTGACCCTTTTCCAGCACACGTAAAAGTCATCCAGCAGGAGTTCACAGCATATGCCCTAGCTGGCAATTATTTGTACTTTTAACATTACATAATACAGCATTAGTACCAGCTCTGAGTAAGTTTTGTCACCCTGCTCCGAGTAAAATCCTGAGGGAAAGGGGTTGAGATGCTTTGGTACTACTGCCTTGGAAGCCCACGCTCTTCCAAGTCTCTGGCCCTCAAATGCTGCTATTCAAAACAGAGGGATAGGGTGGAGTGGAGGGAACACCTTCAGGTGGGAGAAACATCATGACTGGCAGACATCAAAGATAAGCCATCATCAGATTTCCTGCACCCAAGAAGAATAAAGAGCCAGTGCTCCTGGAATTCCTGTTCAGAAGAAGTACCCCAGAACAAAGCCAGCACTTCCACCTCAGCCAACCTCACCTATTTTCACTTGTAATCAAACGCTGATAACCAAACCTGGCCTGGCAAAGCTCTGCAAGCTTCAAGCCCTTCCTGGCACCACACAGATAGCTAACTTTTCAGTGTACGACCAGAAAGCAGCACTTCCAGAGATACCAAGGTCCTGCCTTTGAAATCACTGCCTATAATAGATGCTTCTAAGTAGAGGGGGAGGGATGAGAGGGGAAAGCCGCAGCTCCCATAGGTGCTGCTTTACATAGGATACTAAAAGCAAAACAAAATATGCCAACACACAGAGAAAGGATTCCTCTGGCCAAAGAAAACCTGCTTTAACTGCTGAACAAATTGGCAAGTCAGATCTCCCACCCCCAAAAAAAGAAACGAGCTGTTGCATGGCTTCGGAAGGCGATTCCTTCTCACCAAAGTTTACATCTGCTCCTTGAGGCACTTCCCAGCAAAGCTGCAGGGTACCTGAGCACTCCCATCTACTGTGAAGCTGCACTCAAAAGAACACAAAGCAGTTCCTGGCCCCTTTCCAAGCTGCAGGAATACTCTTGGAAAAATGCATTTTAAAGCTGCAATCCCATGACTGACCGTCTTTCTTGAATTCAGAAAGGAGGTAGAAGAAGACAGAGAGCAACAGGCATTCTCACTGCCTTCAGGAGAACTGAAAGCAGCACTACCATCCTCCCCTATAGACAATCACCTCCCAAGGAAAAAGCTACCACATCATCAAGGCAGCCTTCTCAAACTGGTCCAGTAACATGGTCCAATAATACACTCATTTAAGAACAACCTTTATTTCACTGAAAGAAGAAGACATGATTTCACATGTTTTAAGAGTGTACACCTAAAACACAGATTTCCAAACTTAGGCATCATTCATCAAAAAGTTAAAAGGGGCTTTTTCTGCACACGCATGGATTTCAGACCAACAGGATTTACTTGTTTTCTGCCTGTTCCCGGGGAACCTCTGCAGTTTCTTTTTTTCCCAAGACTGTCCCTACAGGCTGCTATCCAACATATATCAGATGCTCCTGGAGCAACAGATAACTCTGGAAGGACATTTGCAAAGGGCACAAATAGAGGGCCCAATGCTGGTAAGACTGAGGCATACTGGGGGAGGGTGGATTTACTCCTGTATGTCCATAACTTTAACACTCAACTCGGTCCCCTGGAAGGTTTTATTCATGCATCTAAGTACTTTTTCCCAGATGTTTCAGTATCAAAAAATTTATTTTAAGTAAATTAAAAAATTACTGCAACTTAAAAAGTGAGTCCCTTACAAAAACGCTGAGGTTAATTTTAGCATCCTTCTGTTTAGCTGCTTAGCAACACTTATCCTATGACCTTCTAAGCACCACCTACTTTTGCAGGGGATAATGAATATAATCAAAGGGATTTATCTATATGTTTTTAATCTATACAGTGTAAGTACATGAACAGTTTTTATTTAAATGAGAAATCCAATAGAGAGCAACCCAAACTATTTCTGCTTAAGAAGAAACTTTCACAGACTAAAGTCAAGCTACTGTTACGACTGCAGTGTAACTCTGACATCGGCAAAGTGATAAAATCCTTAAGGATTGGGAAAAGCACTACAGAAGCCAGCGTTTGTATGCCTTGGGGGACACTACACGTGCCTTTGGTACCAAAGGAGATTATAGGTATCACCAACAGGTAATGAAAACACCCAGTTTCCCCAGTTTGGAAACTTCAAGAATCTCCTGACCCTCAAAATCAGAACAAAAAGCCACTTGGTCAGAGGGACACTAAACACTGTAAAGAGTGAAGAATGGGCACACAACCTGGGTGAGCTGAGCCAGAATAAGATGTTTCACTACACTGAAGCCTGCAAGCAAATAAAGCTTCAAACACCCAGGTCTGGGTGCAAACAAACAAACAAAAAAAAATCAACAATTGCTAAAACCAGTCAGCAAACACCCTGTTATATTCTGTCTTAACACCAAGCCAAAAACGCATGTATTTATCATTATTAAAAGACATGTGTAAGAGTGGCTACATAAACAGTCACTCCCGATGGACAAACAACAGGTTAACAACTAGAAGCTGCAAAATTAGAGCAAAAGTTTAATTGATCATACTTGAAGGATGGTATTTTTAACTATATGACATGAACTGAGTTCCAAATATGACTGAGAGGAGGATGAAGGTAAAGGAGTAACTAGAGGCCGCATCGTGCCAAGCACAGCTGCCCCGCAGCAAGAGAGGAGGCTGGATGTGTCCCTCTGCAGCAGGTGAGGGGGAGCCCTGGTACTCTGATTGATTGGATGATGGATTCATGCTGTTCCTGGGTTTCTAACAAACAAAAGGGCCTATTCTTCCCTGGATGTACCCAGCTCCCGTTAAAGCTAATCGGCATTATGCAGGCACACCAAGAAAAGACTATATACCCTTAAGTCTTCAAAGAGAAAATTAAAACCTAAAACAAATATGGCTGGCATGACCCTGAGTCACTGCATCCCTTTCACGCACGCTGACCCTGTGGAAAACAGGAACTGCAGTAACAAAACTCAGTGCTCATGTCAAAACGACAGACCTCAACGAAAAACTTCAGCCATCATTAACAGCTGTCTACTGTGCACTGCAGGGGTGACAAGGCGGTGTTATTTAGCAACTGCTCCTGTCGTTAATAAGCATTTTTGTTTCTCCCAAGGCACAGCGTTGGATGTTGGAATGGTAAGAAACATCAGCCGCATCTGCCTTCTCTCCACGGTCCCCAAATCACACTGAACTAGGAGTTTTAACTACCTTCTCAAACGGGTAACCACACCAGATCTTATCTGCAACAGCAGACAGGGGAAAGAGGGAGTCGGGAATCCAAACCGGATGGTTGGTGTGTCTCCCCCTTCCCACCAGAAATCGGTGATTCCAGGGCAGGATGCTGGCTCCTCGCCGGGCAGGACCAGAGCATCAGCTTCGGGCCGGACACCCCGGGATGGCCGTGGGAGGGCAGCGGGCACGGAGGCGACCAGTGGGGGCCTCCGTGGGGTGCGCAGCGCAGCGGGGCAGGCAGGGAAAAGTGCTGAGCCAGGAGAAGCGCTCTCCGCCTCCTCCTGCTGCGTAACGAGGCCAGGATGCCAAGCAGGCGAAGATACGGAGAGGTGAAACAGGGAACATTAAGGAAGGGAGGGGGGAAAAGCAGGGAAAAGAGGAAAAAATGAAAAAACTCAAGCGTACGTGCGGAGGGGAGAGGCGGGGAGAAGTGCAGGGAGAAGAAGCCAGAGGAAACTTATCTGCGACATGACAAAGTTCAATCCACCGCCCTCCCTCCTCTGCTGAAAGAAAAGTTGCAGCATCTCGCCGCTCCGGGGCCCGGCCCGGCCCGGCTCTGCCCCTCTGCCCCACAGCCCCCGCGCCCGGCCCAGCCCGGTACCCCAGAGCCCCGCACCGGGGCGATGGAGGAAACATCCCAGCCCCGTGTACGATTAACTGGGCGGAAGGCTCTGCCTCACATCCTCACCGCGGAGCCAAGGAGGGGAAAGAGGAGGGGGTGTCTCCGGGCCCGTAGCAACGGCGATGGGTCGCCTGAGAGACGGGTCGCGGCTGCAGCCAGTCCGCACCGGGCACGGCGGTACAGGCCGGGGGGGGATGGAAAGGGGGGCGAAACTTTGTTTTCACCCGAAGCTCCGGCGCTGCGGGGGGTAACTCCACTGTCCCCCCGGCAAGATGGGGAAGAAGGGGGCAAGAGCGACCCCGGGACGGACCCCCCACCCCCGCCGTCCATCCGCCTCGGATGCTGCCCAGCTTCTTCCTGTAGTGGTGACGCCGCCCAGGAGTCCCTGCCCGCCGCTGGCCTCGCCGCGTTGGGATGTGCTGCTGGCACCGCATAAAGGCAGCGGGACGGGGGGGACCCGCTGGGGGCAGCGATCCCCCACCCCATCTACTTCCCCCAGGGCCTGGCTCCCCCCGCCTCCTAGCAGGCCGGGAGGGGAAAGGACACGCACGTCGCTACCCGGGGGGGGGGGGGAGGGGGGAGAGAAGTTTGGAGTTGGGGGATAAAGCGGAGGAAAGTGGATAAAATAGACTAAAATAAAGATATGGGGGGGGGGGAGAGGCGCCGGCAGAGGTACGGGGAAAGGGCAGGCAGGGCCGGCGTAAAGTCAGAGGAGAGATGCGCGGCGCAAGGCGGCTCTACCTGCGACGAAGGGTCGCCTTCATCACAACTTCCCAGCGCCGGAGCGGCCCTCCCGTCCGGGAAAAGCGGGCAGGGGCCGCCGCGGGACCCGCCGCCGCTGCCGGCGGCAGGAAAAGCAGCCCGGAGGAAAAGTTTAAAAGGCAAAGCGGCTGCGGGCTCTGGAGCGAGCCGGGCTAGAAGATGTTGCTTCCTCGCAGCCCCATCCAAATTGTGGCGGTGGCTGGTTAAAAATAAACTTTGCAGCAGGAGGAGGGGGGGATGATCTGGCCGGATTCCTGAGCTCAGACGGTTTAATATGGATGAGCATCAGGTCCTGAAGGCAAAACGCCGCGGCTGGTGCCGCTGGTTGGTAGAAAGTCTGCAACAGGGAAGGGGGAGAGAGGAAAAAAAAAAAGAGAAAAAAAAAAATCCAGGAGCCGCGGAGGGAGGAGAGGAGAGGGAGGAGCGGGGGAAGGGAAGGGAAGAGGGAGGCTGCACGAACTCATCATCATCTCCACCGCTGCCAGCCAAACTTTTTTCCTCCTCTTCCTTTTCTTTTTTTTTTTTTAGGAAACTTTTCCTCCTTTAAAAACCGTTTCAGTTGTTTAAAGAACTCTCACGACCGGCCGACACGCTGCGACCCCGCGCCCTCCCCGGCCCGGGAGAGCATTTTTCCCTCTTTCCCCCCCCCCCCCCCATCACCAACCCTCCCGAAGAAAAAGAAGGAAAGAGAGAGACCCCTCTGGAGCTCGGTCAGCTCCTGCCCTTTGTGAGGGAGGGAGGGAGGGAGAGAGGGAAAGAGAGAAGGAGCGCGGCGGCGGTCCCCCCGCGGTACTTACGCCGGACTTTGCTGGGGCTGGGCTGCTTGCGCCGCGACATGCCGGGAGGATGGGCCGCCGGGGGGGGGCGCGGGGACGCGCCGGTGAGAACGGAGAGGGAGGGGGGTGGTGTGTGGGGTGTGTGTGGAGCGCGCACGGGAGGGAGCCGCAAAGTTGTTCCGGAAAAAGGAATCAAAATGGCGTTTCTGTGGATGTGTGCAAAGTTCATCAACTCCGCGCGAACTTCCCGTCCTCCGCGCCTCCCTGGAGGGGAGAGATGGGCACGGTTAGGGACCCCGCCGCGCCGCGCCCGCCCCCTGCCCGCCCCCCGCGCTGCCCCGCGCACCCTGATAAGGAGACACATCACGTGTCGCCCCGGCTCCTCTCCCGGGGACCGCCTGTTGCACGCAGCATCTCTCGCTCGCCCTCGCCGCGGGGAGGGGCGCCCCTCCGGACAGACAGCAGCGAGCACGGCCCCGGCCCCCCCCCCCTCCCCGCACCGGCCCGGCCTCGCCTCCGCCCGCCCCCCGGCAGCGCCGCGCCGGGATGCCCCAGGCCGGCGGGGGGGCGGCCAGGTGCCACGCGGCGCTCCGTGACACCCCCCCCTCCCCGTCGCTCCGCGCCCGCGGGGCTCCCCCGCCCTGTCCCTCTCTTCTCTCCCGCGGGGCTCTCCGCTGTTCTCCCTCCCGAGCGTGCGTGTCCCCCGGCAGCCGGCGTGCGCTCGGCGCTGGAGCGCATCCGGAGCGGCCGCGCAGCCGGCTGCCGGCTTTAGGAGTTCATCGGGGCTCTCCGCTGGCCGTGGAAATGTCTGTGCATCATCCTCCTCCTCCTGCCAGCCCGGCGCCTCACCAGGTACAGCGGCCGCAGGCAGGAGCCCGCCGCTCCGGTCGCAGAACTCAGCTTCTTGCGTTGGTTGGTTTGTTTTGTTTCCTTAGGAAACTTTCGTCCTTGCGCGTTTCGGGTCTCTGTGGGGGTCACTCATCCACCCGGCTGCCGGAACCTGAAGGACGTGAAATCCAAAGAGAGCCAGCACATCAGCAGAGGAACCGGAGGTCCAAATATCCCCGTGGCTAATCAAAGGAGACTGGGACGTTTGCAACCAGAGGTAGTTAAGAGGCTGCACAGGCGCGGTGTGTGGCACTGCACGTATGGTCCTTCCCGGCACCGTCACTGCAGGGGAAGCTCAAAGGTGTAGAAGGCTCAACAAGTGATGGAGATGTGTTCAGAGTCTCGGGGATTGCACTTTAAAGCCCGTACCGGCTTAGAGTTATGTGACAAATAATAATAACAGTACGGGAAAATAACGTAGCTGGAAATACTCCATCCTGAAAGCTCGATGGGGGAGGGGGGGGGGGGGGAAGCAAAGCAAGGGTGAGTGGGGATAATGGGGATGGGAGGAACCGGTTTACACTTGAAGGAAATGGTTATTTGCACGATTTCTAGAGCTATTAAAAACCCAGGCCTTTTAAAGCTGTTACTGGTGAGATGGAAACTGAAGTCACAGGCTGTTTCTCAAAAAAATCAAGTCCTGGCCTGTAAGTGAAAGGCTGGTACCAGTTTACGTGGTATCCTATCTCCTGGTTGAAAAGGGATTCACATGGAAAGGAGGGCTAAATTCCTGGTATGTGGCAGCAAGCCCTCAACCAGCTCTTTTCACAGTCTTTTGTCTTTAAGGTGTCATTATTGATTTCCTTTGAACCATTCTTTTCAAATACTGGATGAAGGCATAAGGTCAAGAACCCACAGGACCTGTCTCAAAGACATGCGCTGTGCTTCTTGTCAGGAATAACCCTCTTCCCTTCCAAGTGAAACACCTGCAGGTCTGGTGATACAGAACCTGGCAATGCCAAACGTGCAAGCCCAAGAGGTGCACACGTGTGTATTCAGGACACGAACCTGCAGCTTTAACTTACGTGTGCTTGTTGTCGTGGCTGTTTCTGCAGGCTGAATTTTCTGTCAGCCGGATTTTGTGCGGTATTATACATGAGCTTTGCGTATAAATTTCAACACTATTCAGCTTTGTTAAAGCAGGGTTGCTGACTGACAGAACAGCTACATAATAGCCAAGTTTGCCGCTAATATTGCCTGCAATATTAGGGGCAAACATTAGAAAGTGCATTTTGATTGTTATGTTACAATGTTCTTATTTTACAAAACAAACAATTGAGAAATCATTAACAATAAATTCATTGCAAGGTATCTTTAACTTTTTCATCTCTGTCCCTGTTAACACCTGGCCAACCCACAGAGGCAGAACTGCTGGTGAGTCCAACAGCTCTATAGCCAGCTTACATCTTTACTTCAGTATTTCTAGTGGTCATGCATGAGATTAAACAATAACCTGAGCAGTTTCCCATCACAAGCTCAGCCCTTAAAGCATGTTATTCCCATTGGCAGGCTGCAGGGATTTAAGCCTGTGTGGCGCATCCATATAAACTGGTGGAGATTAGGCCTACGAGTTTACAACCTCAGGCCTTGTTTGCACAGACATTTGCATGAATTGCTGTAATTGAAACTGGTGCAAATTCCTGTATGGATAATCATCTTTGGAGGCTGGGGACCCATGTCTCACAGGTCTGTGCTTGGTAGCTCTGGAGTAGTCTTGGAGGCATCATGGGGCACCTCTGCATGAAGATCCCGCTTGCTGTATTTTCTAACTTCAGAGGTGCGTAAGCAGCCTTCCACATGGGAAGTTTAGCAAGTGGGTGGACAGAACAGGAAAACAGCGTTATTCAATTCAGCATCCAAAATCTGCTCCAGAAGCATAAAAATGCAAATACTACAGGTATTGTAAAGCTTACATTCAAGAACTAAATCAGGATTTCAGTGATTGGAGAAAATACGTAGGTATTCTTTAATCGCATTTATGTTTTTGTTTTAAACATCCCTATTCTTTTAGTAAGATGTAATGAAGGGTGAGCCAGCACATGCTATGTTAATGCTGTAAATGAAACAAAAAATCCCAAAACAAAACAAAAGCCCCTTATGTAATAACTAAAGAAAGGGTTCATGAAATAGAAAAAGCGATGTATCTAACAGTTTAGGAATGAGTTCTAATTCTGGGCTATCGCAGGGCAAGAGAAATTAAAATAACTTGGTTTCTAAACTTTCCATCATCCCAACTTTTATAATTCTCCAGAGACGTCAAAACTGTGGTCTAAGGCTTAATGTGAAATTCTGAGCAAATGGTTCTATTTTTTTTATTCCAGTAAAAGTGGGGATAGTTTTTGTCTAATAAAAAACACTTTTTGAATAAAATCACTCTCCAAAAATTACTGCAGTGCTTGCACGATAGAACTACTATCCTTTTCACTCTATTTTCTACCATCTGCATTGCTCTGTTATATCCCATCTCCTCTGATCACTCTATTTATGACAGTTTAAATCTTTTTTTTCCTAAGACTGCACATGGTTTGTATACTTTCTGGGTATCGTGACATCAGAACAGTGATGGGATATACATATGTATGTATATATATGTATATGTAACAGAAGTATATGTATATATAACAGATATGATAAGGGGCAAGAAAGCTCATCTCTAACTTCTGTATAACTTCCAGCTTCTATGCAACCCTCACAGACCCCTCTGGTCCTACATAGTGATGTTAACTGCAATGAACAATAGCAGAAATAAACCCAGTAGTTTTGTGGAGGTATTTTGTGCATTACCAATTCCATTAAAACTACTGGGTGACACAGTTGTCTTGGTGACATAAAAGCCATCTGCTGCGGTCCCAAGAAAAGGAAAACTCTGCCCCTACCTGCAGTTCAAATATCAGAGATGCTGATTGAAGGTATTCAAGGAGAGAAGAAAAACAGGATGTGTACCTTTTATGAAGGCCATAACACGAGGATACACTGATGTCTTAAACTGCAGAGACTGAAGCTAATATTGCCATTAAAAGAGGGGGTGAAGGTTAGCTAGAAAATCTATATTCCCTCTGTCCTATTAGACATTATTGATGTCCTCTGCTTTAGATCGTGGTACTTAGAAGTTACTTTGATTTCTTGCAGTGCTTACACATCCCTTTCAGCCAAAGCAGTTTGGAGTTAAATCAGTTCTCTTACTAATCAGAAGTATTTATCATGCAATAAGAGGCAGCATTGGGCCCTGACATTCTAACACCTCACAACTGCTGGGTGAGGGCAGCTGCCAAGAACCAGCTCCCTCATCCTGACACGTGGCTGTGCAGCCACAGAGGATGTCAGGCATCAGAGGCCCCGTCTGCTGCGGGAGCTTAGGCCTGCACAGCATCCGGAGTCCTCTCACCGCCATCCTTTTCCTGGTGTCCTCACTTGTGCCAAGAGGCAGAACTCAGCTGACATACAAAGACAGGGAAAAGCCTGCTTGGAGGATCAGAGAATACAGCCTCAGGGCTTTGAAAAGTAAGTCTTTATAAAACCTAAGACCAAGAGAAATGCTCAAAGTTCCTTTACATTTCAACCAGCTACTTCTTTAAATGAACAAACATGCCATTGCTGGGTCTTCTTATGGGTTGGGGTTTTGTTTTGCTTTTGAGGGCTTTTTTTTCCCTTCATCTGAGATACAAGTTTCTTGAATCAAAACCTCCTCAAGAACAAATGCAGAACTGACAAGAGTGACCACCATACAGGCAGGGTAATTATACAGAATAAAAGGGAGGAGATTCAATTAAATATTTTTCCTAAAACATGCTTGGAAAACTAAACTTGATGAATTCATGCAGTGGAAAGCCACACAGAAAAGCATATCACATAAGACCAAACACAGACTCTCTCAGAGCATTTGTTGGATGACACAGCATCATACAGCATTCCCGTTTTCTGCATGTGGGTGAATGTGATGCACCACTGTGCTCAGCTACCTCAGCCTCTGGAAATCAGGCAGCTGGGGAGCAAATGAGCACAGTGGTGGAACTTGCTCCTTCAGCAACCCCACCCATTATCTCCAAGGGCAGCGTTGGATGGTCAGAAAGTCAAGGCTGAAGCTTCAGTCCAAACTTACCTTAACAGCAGCTTTCAGTGAGTGAAAGAAAAGCTGAGGTAACACAGTGTGTTTAAGCAGTTTTCCCTCACATCGCAACAGGCTAGCAATGGCAAAGCTGGAAATAAAACCTCTTTCGCCCCACATCCTGGTGTAGTTCTTCAGGTACCAAACCATACACTCTGCTTTGTGACCTGTTCTAACCAGACGGTACTGTATTGATAACACACAGCAAAAAGAAAAGATCAGGTACTAAGTATTTGCTCCCTGTTTGCTCTGAGCTGTTTCAACAGTGCAAACCAGACCTTGAGCTGACCCACCTAGCCAGGTAAGACTACCTCTTGTCTAAGGACTTATCTGGCTATGTGAAGACAGTGTTTTGGAAACCCACATCACTTTCCCCTCCTATACATCACAGCCTGTAGGGCATATTGCAGGACTACCTGAAGTCTCTACCTGCAGTAACTGCTGGCCCCATCTCCTACTCTCTTTTCACTGTGGAAGTCTCTAGCAGAGAGATGCAATGCAGAGCAGCCCTGCTGCTGGGACTGGACCAGCTTGATGACCTACTCACTTCCACAGCCCTAATTTTTGGGGTGTAAAAAGTAGCATGAACTATTCACCTAAACTATTTTAGCAATGACCAAAGTTTCTAAATGCTTTCTGGGGAAGATCCACAACTGAAACCTACTCTTTCAAGTTGCTGTATGATGGTAACTGTAGAGAACGGCTAAAGTGATACGTAAGCAGCTGACATGTCTTTCAGCCTTCTAACAAAACAGAAAATGGGTACAAAGGAACATTATTACCAAAATTCCTCATACAGGATAATTTTTTAAAATAGTATGTTTTACGTGCATAAAAATAAGATTTCCCCTGCATACTTGGCAAATTTTGGAACAGGACAGCCTACTTATTCCTCAGCCTGTTTAAAAACATAGCATGAAAAAACTTAGCAAGCAGATGTTTGACATTTACATTCTCAAACAGTTCTGTGATCACTACTGTACAGCCTCAAAAACAGGTTGTATAGCCCATGAGCAAGTGTGTCTGTCTGGAGACAAAGTGGGGAAAACAGCAACGGCAAGCAGAACCACCCACTGCAATACTTTCACTTCTTTTAAAACTCTACATCATTGCCCAGAAGCTTTTGATGCCAGGTAATGCAAAAATCACAGATGTGCAAAAAATAAGTTAGTGTTTAATGTGATTTGGTACTGAACATGATATGCTTCATTCTTACTGGCCACCCAGCCTCTCACACCTAGTTAGTTTAAATGTGATTATTTTCTCTCCTGAAGGCAAGTAGTAAGCCAGCTGTGTCCTGTTTGCTAGGGAGACCTCATTCTGAAATGTCTCACAGACAAAATACATGCTCACATTAACTGTGACTTCTTCATGTTCATTCAAAGGACTGCTGCAGCATCAGCAGAGGCAGCAGCAGCTAAAGGCAGGCAGCAATATCCAGCTAAAGCATTACTTACTATCATTTGATATTATAGGCTAGAGACAGAAAATAGCTGCTATTCATTCCCCAAGGTTGCCACTGTATTTCTCTATGCAATATACTTTTCAGTACTGCCTTGGTTTACTTTTAAATCTCCCCAGTCCTGGAGGATTCAACAGCTGCTGTTGGGATACTTGCAAATTTTGATCTGTACACCTGCAGATTCTTCTGTTAGGATGTTTCTCTTGCTTTTTCCAGCCTAAATTTCTATTTTCTTCATATCACAGCTAATTATAGCTCAAAAAGTGCAAGTTAGAAAAGGGGATGGGGAATAAGGAAACCCCAACCAGCTCAAGGAAAATATGATAGACAATGCTTTGAGATGCACCCACACAGCAGCAGAAAATATGCAGAGAGGGCCAGCAATCAGCAGAGAGGTGAAGAAATAGGGAGCGATGCAGAAGTCATGAAGAAAGTATGCAAGGGAGCAGTTACCCTGCAGGGAAGAAAAAAAGCAGGACAACTTTCAAGGGCAGAGATTAATATAACTTGGGGAGGCTGCAGTGACAGGATTTAGAGAAGAGAGGAATGGAAACAAGGTACCAGGGAAAAAATGATCAGTGGATGTAGTAGGCAAAGAATTAAGGGAATAGCAAAAAAAATGGTAGGGCTCAGGTAAATAGGCATGAAAAGAGTCACCTGTGCTTTTGTAGCTGCTTAAATTGTGCTGTATGCCTCCTTAAATCAAAG